CGCCGTGAATCCATACGCAAGTCGTGGGCATACTTTTGCCGAACCCGAGTTTGATCCGATTCTGGCCCAGATTCTCGCCGTCCAGTTTGCGCATCGCTTTCACCACTGATGTGATGTCCGAGAACTGAATGAACGCATACGATGTCATATTCGCCTGCTTTTTGATATCAATTTCCTGAACACATCGATAAAGAGACAAAAAATAAACAATTCATTAAATAAAAACCAAACAAACTGTTCGTCGCTTTAATTAAAACGTTAATTCAATGCAAATAGGGATACATTGAGAGTATGGGTAGAAACAGACACAACTATATATCTGCACAATACCCCTACCCTTCCCTCCCATTGGCAGTCGTGCCGCACAATTAAGTGCTGAGCAAACACTTAATTATGGGTACAAATAGAGGGTCTAATAAAATGAATAAACAAAATGCAAACACAAATGCATACAATTATTTCGCCGAACTGTTCGAAGTGGTCCTTCAGATCAGATGTCGAGACGTCTTTCTCAAGATTGCCGACGAATAGAGTTCGGGTGGCCTTCGGGTGGTGTTCGTCGAGTTCGGCTTCGAGTGGCCGGAAATCGTTGTCCTCGGCGTCGATGCCCTCGTGTGCCGACACTTCGATCTTACAGCCGAAGAATAACTTCTCCTATTTTTGCGCACAAATAGAAAGTCAATTAAATACAGAAATTCACGTCAAATACAAACATAATGTGTATTAGAAATGCATTAAAATTCTTTGGGCGCAGAGAAGGAGAAACAAAATTAAAAATTTATTACAAATTAATCGAAAAAATAGTGGAGAAAACAAAACAAAAATAAAGAAATCACTTTCAGATGAAATGGAAAAAACAAATTCATAAATAAATTCAATAAATAATAAATAAAAACGAGAGAGAAATTTATATTTCAGTAAATGATTGATTTGATTGTAATGGTCGCTGTCCATCGCCCGCCAATCCCAGTCCCCACTGTATGTATTGATCACTTGATTCACTCACCACTTGTGGTGATCGCCATCTGATTGTCTGTCTATTTGTTATAACTAATGATTTGTTTAATGTCCTG